CGGGAAAACACCAGGGATAGACGGTATACCAAATGATTTTTATAGAGCACATTGGGGGTGTATTAGGCAATGCTTTGTTAGGGTATTGGATCATATGTTAATTAGTGGGAAGTTGGACACATCGCAAAGAACGGGTGTCATAGATTTGGTGCCAAAGAAGAGGGGGGGAAGAGAGTTGAGTGCTTACCGAGCAATATCTCTGATGTGCGTAGATTACAAGGTTTTTGCGAAAATTTTGGGTAATAGACTGAAGAAGGTCATGGGGTCGGTGATACATGGGAGGAGTATGCGGGTAGGTCATGGACGTATTAGGGATTTCCTTGGGGGTAGTAGTAAGGGAGGTATTCTAGGTCTGGTTGGGAGAAAGCTTTTTGATTATGTGGATAGGAATTTTTGATTGAGAGTTGGTGAGAATGGGTTTGGAGGGAGGGTGGTGGATGGGTGAGGACATTGTATGGGATGCATCGATGAGAGTACAGGTAAATGGTAGGTGGGTAGTCTGTAAGCATTGGGGAGGGTTTAAGGCAGGGGTGTCCCTCTCCCAAATACTCTTTGCATTTTATGCAGAATCCTTTCTATGTTCTGGTTGATGGTGGGATGGGAAGGATGGGGGAGGTGGAGGCTTTTGTGGGAATATTGTTGGTTATGTAGATGATAAAAACTGTTTTACTTTAAAGAGATAGAAGATTTAAATAAAGTGGGAAGGGTACTTGAGATTTTTGGGAATGCTACTGGGGTGAGAGTTAATAAGCGAAAATCACGGTTGCTGGAGGTAAGGCGCTTGGGTAGGCGGGACCTTGGGGGAGGAGTTTGGTGGATAACTGTAGAAAGGGCTAAAGATTTGTGGGATTTTGTATATGGCAGATGCACAGGAGAGCAGGAGGGTTAATTCAGAAATGGTAATGGACAGAGCTTTGAGTAGGCTCAGGAGTCTATGGGCCGGGGACGTAACCTTGCATCAAGGGTTTGGTGGTAAAATTTCGCTGATTTATAGTAAAGGTGTGGGGAGTGGCGGAAATTTATCCCTTACGAAGTCAGGATATTATGGAATTACAAAGAAGAGTATTAAGGTATGTGTGGGGTTATGGGAAGGCGTGGTTGGGCAAAGATGTAGTAATGACTGCGGTAAGACAGGAAGGATTGGGATTGATGGCATTAGGGTCTAGGGTGAAGGCGCTATATGTGAAGCAGAGGTATATTCGGGCAGTGGGGGAAAGGGGTCTTCGGGTGGGGGAGGTGATGGGGGATATCCACAAATGGTGGGGTGGCAGGGACTTATTGGAGTGTGAAGATATGTTGAGGTTTATGTTAAAGGTTCGCAATGTTAAAAAACTCAAGGTAAAACGGTTAGTGGGTGTGGGTCGTCGTCAGGAATCACTGCAGGGGATGGCAGTGTATCCCACATATGATTGGAGAGTGATATGGGTGGAATTTAGTAAACTGAGAATACAGGCAAGAGCGAGGGAATTAGTATATAGATTTCTTATGGGACGTTAGCATCGAAAGAGGTGCTAAGACGAATGGGTTTTGTGAGAGAGGCGTCATGCGGGTTTTGTGGGGAAGTTGAAACTGCTTTCCATGTAGTATATTTTTGTTCTGCTTTGGAGGTGGTAAGATTGTGGTTGAAGAGGGTTTTCCTTTTATTGGGGGGGGGGGACAGATATCACCCTTTAGGGCTTTAATGTTAGATATGGGAGGGATGCCCAACGAGGTGGGGAGGGCTATCAGATACGTAATAGATGATTACTTGTATGTCTCTTGGGGGATGAGGGAGGTGGAGGGAAACATTAGGATAAAAGCGTTGGCGGCGTGTTTTTATAGGACAGCGTGTAGGAACAAACAATTATATGGGGGAAGGTGGGTAACTAGTTTTCCTGAGGGATATCGTGGACTTACTGTTGAACGTCTACTCAGCTTGGTGACGGGGTGAGAGGCAAGGGGTTAGTCTCTTCAGTGGTGTGTCCTCTTGGAGTGATTGGAAGCCTGATGCGGAAGGTTGACTGGTTGCAAGGTGGTTGATGTGGGTAAAGTTTATTTGCAGGGAGCCGTCGGGGGCTCCGGGGTATGTAGACCTTATGAATTTTGTAAAACCACAGAGTTAAAAGTTGTATGTGATTTTCTGTTTTTTTTTTCTTTTATTGTTATAAGAACCATTTTATATAGGGGGTTTATATTCATATGTATATGTGAGGATATGTTTTATATATTCGAATCTGATGATAGCTTTATCCTTGTCATACGTCTTTTTTTATCGTGTTGAAGGGGTACATTATGGACTATGAACGAGAATATATAGGTATTTTATGGGGTTTATATATACCCTTCATTTTGTATGGAAGGTCATATTATATACTGAGTGTTAATCGGTAACATTAACTTTGTGTGTGTGTAGGTGTTTTTGTGGGAACCAATGTCTTAGGTATAGTTCTGTTATTGGATGTAATATATTTTTAGTTTATTTGGTGACTAGTCATTTAGCGTTTTATTTCTATGTATAATCCAGTTTGTTTTGTACGAACACATGTGCACATACACGTATGTGTGTATATGCATGCGTATATATATACATATACATATGATTGTAGGACTTGTTCCTACATGTTTCATAATGACTCCGACTGTTTGTTTGGAAGTCGGTATATTTTTTTTTTCCATAAATTGGTTGGGTTATTTCAGTAGAATTTTGTTATATCAATGTGTTAAAATGTATTTTGTTTTTTGTGTGTGTACTGACATCGTCTGCCACGGTTTTTTGATTTGCTAATTGTCGGCTTGTGTTTTTTTTTTCTTATTATGGTTTATGTGTATGTTGCTTTTAAATAAAAAATATAAAAAAAAAAATTTCTTGGGTAGCATTGAGGGTTGGGTTGGGCAAATGTTTTGTTGGTCGGATGAATTGTAAAGGACCTGCCTAGTATGGGCCAACAGGCCTGCTGCAGTGTTCCTCCTTTCTTATGTTCTTATGAACCCGTTCAGTGAAGTCTTGAGAGTGACGGAGGTAGGCAGGAGAAAAAGTGTGTGATGAATGGTTTGAAAAATCGACAAGTTGAAGATTGAGACACTTATGCAACATATGGGAATCTTTATTCAGGAAACGTTTCGCCACACAGTGGCTTCATCAGTCCAATACAAAGAGGAAGGCGTAAGGAGAGGAGGAGAATGAGGTAATCAGTCCCTCAACCTGGAGTCGATGTGTTCAGTCCATCAATCTTGTAGAATGTACAGCAAGGGGCTGTCTTTGGCACCTTAGTGATTTCTTAAGTCATGATGTTATGAACCTAGAGCCTAGTACTCTGAGTTTGTATTTTTTCCCTGTGATCGGCAGTATCACAGACATAGCTGTCAGCCAGAGTCGACACACAAGTATGATCCTACGCTAGTAGTGTGCCGTTCTTCCAGGGATAGACTGTGATCCTGTCGGGGAGGTTAACCGAACCACCTTTACTCACAACCAACTGACTAGTGTTCAGTCAAACGAGACAGCAGACAGTAGACAGTAGACAGTAGACAGCGGACAGCAGATAGTAGACAGCAGACAGTAGACAGCAGACAGTAGACAGTAGACAGCAGATAGTAGACAGCAGACAGTAGGCAGTAGACAGCAGACAGTAGACATCAGACAGAAGACATCAGACAGTAGACGGCAGACAGTAGACAGCAGACAGCAGACAGCAGACAGTAGACAGCAGACAGCAGACAGTAGACAGCAGACAGTAGACAGCAGACAGCAGACAGCAGACAGCAGACAGCAGACAGTAGACAGCAGACAGTAGACAGTAGACAGCAGACAGCAGACAGCAGACAGCAGACAGTAGACAGCAGACAGCAGACAGTAGACAGCAGACAGCATATAGTAGACAGCAGACAGTAGACAGCAGAGAGTAGACAACAGACAGCAGAAGCAGACAGCAGACAGTAGGGCTAGAGTTGGTTCAAGACACTTGCGGATGGTAGCAAGTGTCACTGTGGATTCTGGACATTTTGTTGACTTTAGAATATTATTACCTAGCAATAACACGGCATATTTCATGGGGAATCTCTCAGATACACATACAATTATATATCCTGTATAATATTTAATAATATTTACCGTCCACAAAAATTTTATGCAAAGGGATAGAGGCTACAGCTCCCCCACATGCTTTTAACAATACGGAGGAATTTAATGAGGTCTCAGAAGTTGGAAGTACTCCCTCTCTTAAGAGGGAACAATAAGTCACGGTATCCCTGGAGGTGGATACCCTAATTTTAATATCATTCTCCTTAAAGGAGATGTGGCATGTACTATAATATGGTGCCATGCAGTCATCTATTTCTTGCTGGTTTGTATGTCAAGGAAGTACATTAATTTTCCCCGAAGGTTGGGGGCCTATTCAACTTACTACTTACCGCTAGATTAACTAATCTGGGGCAGTTTAATTTTACATGGCCGGGTTTGCGGCAGTGGAAACAAACTATAGATTCCGGTTTTGGTCTGGCCTCCTGTTGACTTTGTGGCGACGCCATTCACTATACTGACTTCGTGACTGATGTCCTTGTTCTCCATGCTGACTGCGAACCTGAAGATGTTCTTCACAATACTGACCTTTTGGTTGGTGCCGTTGTTCACTTCCAGCCTCCAACTTCTTTCTCCAGTCAGGAATCCGTCCACGACGATTTCTATTCATACCTGGTTGTTGGGTTGTTGGGAAGGAAGATTAGACCGCTCGGAAAAGGAGTGGTTGGCCTGGTTGTCTCTAATGTAGATGCCAATGAATGGTCTTCGAGAAACACCCGAACCTATAGTCCAACAGATTCAAGGAAATTATCCATCAGAATAAGCTGTACTAACTCAATATAATTAGTGACACCACTGGCCTTGTAACACTTTGTGAAATTCTTTGCCTTCTCTCGAACAAAGTCTACATGAGACTGACCCAGTTGACGCTTGCACAGTTTGATTTCCCTCATGTACTTGGCGGGAATTCACTGATATGCACCAATAACAGTTGTTTTAACAGCCTGGTTGTCAGCGAAGTCCTCATCAACCAACCTACCTGCACTTTGCCGTACAACGCTGTGTGCACAAGTGCTGCCCAGTGCTCCACTGGCCATCTTAATGCATGAGCCTGATTTTCGAATGCCTCGAAAATGTGTTCAGGCTCAGTATCAATAAAACTAGATAATAGCAGCACCGCTTTCTGCTCAATAAACTTTTCACCAACATTCTGACGAAACTTCCTCCTCGCCTTCTCTCTGGCAAACGCCTCTTTGGTAAATACACGTTACTCTCTGGTAGTTTCAAGATTGAGTTTGGCCAACTCGAGTACCAACGAAGATGACTTGAACTGAGAGAAACCAAACTCACCATCTGCTTCATGAAATTTCTGGTCTAGTTATCCCTCCCACATTACGAAGAAACCGAAGAGGAGATCGGCGATAAATAGCCCCTGTAGAAGCAGAAACCTTAGTTTGGTACGCTTCATCCTTTAATTTGTAACGAATACTTGCACGAAGCTGTGCAGCAGTAAGAATTCGTTGATATTTTATGCCAATGGAACGAGCAATTCGCCAGCAACGCTGTAGAGATAGTCGGAGCAAATTTAGTAGAGTATACTCAGACACACGTCGCCTAACACGTGTTGATGGCTTAACTCATTATAACAAAACACTGTTTGCAATACATGTAATATGCAGCAATAGCACAGTACGACTTACAGGATGCCACAATGACGAAAGCGTTAGCAAGAGACAATCTGACTACACTACGACCAGCTCCAGCTCCCGGACAGAGCTTCCATATTACGAACACAGGCGTTTTATGGCCTGCATAACTGGTGGTAATGGGATCTGGTGGAACAATGAAAACCCAACAACAGTATATGACTTGAATTTTCCTTCACCAAATATAAACAGCTGATATTTACAATTACTTACACTATGTACAATATGCGCAGTAATGTAATATTAAGTGTACAACACGGTGAACAAGAAAGCAAAAGCAAGAGCCAGAGAATGCATCATGTACAACCAGCAACCCAGACAATTCTGTCAATTTACGTGTCACAAGTGAGCCACGTTACTTCACAGCTTTGGCAGACTTTTCTGTGATTAGCAGACGAAAGGGCCCCTAATGATCAATAAATCCTTACCACCTGGTTCGCTGGTTCGGAGGCAGCCTATATGGGAGTGTTACATACGCCGAATAAAATGTAACATACTTGTAGCATGCCATATGGAGGATACGTTGAGACAAGTGCCCCTTACATACATCACAGCAGCGAGTATGTTCTACACGTTTTCAGCAATGGGATTATCCCAGCTTGACTGCTTGTAGGCCTGGAGTGCAACGGGTTTTGGCACTGGAACAGTAAGTTTCTACCACTCCATAATTCCTTTAGCGCAGCTGAGATTTTTGTACCCCTGCTACACCACTTAGGTCATCTGGGAGAATCTTCTTTGCTACTGTAACTTGTCTGATGCTATTGTAAAGAATAAGATAGCTGGCAGGGCAGTTTGGAGCATTATACATGTTCCCAGTCTAAGTCTGACTAGAAGTTAGGCTTGCATCCACTGTCCATATTCAAGGAAAAGGTTCAGAACACTTTCCAAGGGTATCATAGGCCTTGAGTGTGTGACTGTTGAAGACTGGGAAGCATCTCAAGAAGTAGGTCAGTTCTGGGAGGGACATGCACCTGGTAAGTAGGACCAAGGCACTGTGTGCATCAGTTTTTCTAATACTGCCTTCCATCATCCTGAGGTCTAAGATTTTTTTACCTAGGATCAGATCATTGGCATTGACCCAAGAGGAGCGCCATATATTCTCAATGATTTTGGAGTTGGAAGAACCTTTTCACATCTGGCTGGGCTTAATTGTAAATCTAGGCTGTCTCCTACGAGGGATTTCATAGTGCCAGGCAAAGTGCCTTAATTCAAAAACCAAATGACCAGACAAAAAATGAGTGGGAGGAGGGGAGTTGGCCACATATTGCACACCTTTACATGAATTGACTTAATGTTCATCAAACAGGAGCCAAGAAGTACAACTATAACATATAACATGATTAAATGAGTAAGTAGAAGGAAGTGAAATGTCTGAAAACCCCACCTTGAACAATATCCTTTCTAAGTTAACTGCACTGACAAAATCCAATTTAATCAGGACTGTTCTATTTTTCATGTTACTAATGTTGGCAGGTAAGACACATAGGCAACAGTTAGGCAACTTTATTTCGAAACGTTTCGCCTACACAGTAGGCTTCTTCAGTCGAATACAGAAAGTAGGCAGGAACAGTAGAGATGTGGAGATGATGTAATCAGTCCATCACCCTTGAAGTCGTAGATTTGAGGTTGAAGTCGTAGATTTGAGGTTGAAGTCGTAGATTTGAGGTTGTCAGCCCCTCTGCCTGGAGAAGTTCAGTTCCATTGTCAGGAACTATCTGATGTTACTAATGTATACCCGTGGTGCGTGGCCACCTGCCTTACAGCCCTGTTGAACCCAAAAATCGAGCCGATTGAATACAGAAACGAGACAGCCTCGCTTTTCACAGTTCTCAGTAGTATACCCAAAAGGCAACAATGGCTCAACCAAGACTGATAAATCTCCCCCCAAAACGCTGAGGCGAATGACTAACTGTTTCCGATCACTAAATCAAGAATGATAGATTATAAATGGTTAGGCAAACGTCTTAGTGTTTGTGCAAGGCTAACACTTCTAACACAATCAGAAGCATTAAAAAAATATCAAGGTTTAATGTTGTGAATAATTGTTTCAGTTGGGAATAAATGTAGCCTGAATAAGCCTTTGCTTGTATTGTTTTATAATATTTTTTCAATTATATACCTTTCTATTGCTAACAAGCTTGGAGACTACAAATCAAGCTCTGAGGATCAAGTAAACTGTTAAAACCATCGCGAAAGATGATACAAGAGGTGAGATGCGGTCTCTGAAGGAAATATTGCATAATGAACAATTTGGTAATTTTGTAAACCACTTTTAACCGAGTCTGTATAACCCCTGACTCGGGTTGTACAAGGCATGACCATCATGTTTTAAAAGAGAGAATTCGATTCCTTCTTTCTTTTAAATGAGCTGTTTAGCACAACGACCTGAGCAGACGCCTACCTCGGAGGAAGATGACCATCACTAACATTGTTCAAAATTGCACTCTACTCTTGCACCATTCTAACAGACTTATGCTGGGACTGCGTAGTTTCCAGCAATTTATTCCCTTATTGTATATATAAGGAAGAAATAGTACAGCTTTACTGTGCTAGACAGTATGTTCTCACATTCCTCTAACATAGGAAGGTAGCACCTCCAAGCAGTGCTTTTGTGATTTCTCACACAGATAAAACAGGTGAAATCACAATGTGCAGAAAAACCACTGTGAAAAAATATTGAAATTCCAAGTGCTTGTGTGATTTCTCACATTATAAATGTAGTAATAGGATAGTACAGCGTAAATAATTGTTGATACAGAATTATTGTGTATAAGTTTAGTGACATAACACTATAATGCACCAAGTTATAAACACAGCAGGTTAATAATACAGCACTACAGTGCACCAAGTTATTAACACAGCAGGTTAATAATACAGCACTACAGTGCACCAAGTTATTAACACAGCAGGTTAATAATACAGCACTACAGTGCACCAAGTTATTAACACAGCAGGTTAATAATACAGCACTACAGTGCACCAAGTTATTAAAACAGCAGGTTAATAATACAGCACTACAGTGCACCAAGTTATTAACACAGCAGGTTAATAATACAGCACTACAGTGCACCAAGTTATTAACACAGCAGGTTAATAATACAGCACTACAGTGCACCAAGTTATTAACACAGCAGGTTAATAATACAGCACTACAGTGCACCAAGTTATTAACACAGCAGGTTAATAATACAGCACTACAGTGCACCAAGGTATTAACACAGCAGGTTAATAATACAGCACTACAGTGCACCAAGTTATTAACACAGCACTACAGTGCACCAAGTTACTAACACAGCACTAAAGTGTGCCAAGTTACTAACACAGCACTAAACTGTGCCAAGTTACTAACACAGCACTAAAGTGTGCCAAGTTACTAACACAGCACTAAACTGTGCCAAGTTACTAACACAGCACTAAAGTGTGCCAAGTTACTAACACAGCACTAAAGTGTGCCAAGTTACTAACACAGCACTAAAGTGTGCCAAGTTACTAACACAGCACTAAAGTGTGCCAAGTTACTAACACAGCACTAAACTGTGCCAAGTTACTAACACAGCACTAAAGTGTGCCAAGTTACTAACACAGCACTAAACTGTGCCAAGTTACTAACACAGCACTAAAGTGTGCCAAGTTACTAACACAGCACTAAAGTGTGCCAAGTTACTAACACAGCACTAAAGTGTGCCAAGTTACTATCACGGCACTACCATGTACCAAGCTATTAACACAGCACTACAGTGAACCAAATTACAAACACAGCACTACAGTGAACCAGGTTACTAACAGCAGTGAACCTAGTTATTAACACAACACTACAGTGAACCAAGTTACAAACACAGCACTACAGTGAACCAAGTTACTGACACAATACAATGAACCAAGTTACTAACACAGCACTACAGTGAACCAAATTACTGACACGGCACTATAGTGAATCAAGTTAGTAACACAGCACTACAGTGAACTAAGTTACTGACACATCACTAAAGTGTGCCAAGTTACTGGCAGAGCAGTACAATGAACGAAGTTACTAACACAGCACTAAAGTGAACCAAGTTATTACCACAACACTACAGTGAACCAAGTTACTGACACAACACTACAGTGAACCAAGTTACTGACACAACACTACAGTGAACCAAGTTACTGACACAACACTACAGTGAACCAAGTTACTGACACAACACTACAGTGAACCAAGTTACTGACACAACACTACAGTGAACCAAGTTACTGACACAGCTCAACAATGAACTAAACAGCTGATAAAGCTTTACAGAGTACTATGTAACTCATT